ATAAGCAAACAAATAGGGAAAGAAATGGCTCTTCCTCATAGTAGAATTTAAATAATGTAGAAGAAAAACAAAACATAATCACCATCAAGCAACTACCATAGTAACTGTCACAGACAAGGCACTCTCACGGCTGCAAAAATTTTGGGCAAAAGTTTGAGAAGTAATAGAATTTGCATAGTTTCAACATATTTCCCCAAGATATGTATTAATTACAAGGGGAAAAATGGTAACTTTACAGTAAAAAAATGGCAGACACCCACTTAACCAAAGCAATCAAGGTAAATATCAATGATAAGTCACAGAGGTTATCGACCCCTCAATATGGTGCCCTGAGGACATTACAACATCATTTCTATGGCATTCTTGCCAAAAATCCATAACTTCATTCCAACTATGAAAGAGTATCAGAATAATTCAAATTGAGAGATATTCTTTAGAACAACTGATCCAGCTGGGCATGTTGCACTCCTGCAGTCCCAGCTACCTGAGAGGCTGAGGCAGGAAGATGTCTTGAGGCCAGGAGTTTGAGGCTGCAGTGAGCCTGTGACTAGTCACTACACTCCAGCCTGGGAACCACAGCAAGACCTCATCTCTAAAACAAAACAACAGATCAACAGTCTTCGTAAGTGTCAAGTGACAAAAGATAACCCAGGGCTGACAAACTGTTACAGACCAGAAGAGACGAGGGAGAATCAACTAAATGCAATGTGGGACCCCAGGTAGGATCTTAAAACAGAGAAAGGATGATAACGGAAAAATTGGTAAAATTTGAGAAAATGTCTATAATTAGTATTATACTGATGTTAATTTTCTGTTCTTGACCATTGTGTTACGGTTATGTAAGATACTCATATAAGGGTAAGCTGGGCGAGACATAAATTTTTCGTACAATTTTTCCACCTTTTCTGTAAGTCAAAAATAGGCCAAAATGAATAGTTTAATGAACTAAAATTTTAAAAGTGATTGGTCAGCGAAGCAAACACTAGGGTACTAGTCTCATAGCTGGGAAAAAAGAACTGAAGTTAGGTGAGAGGTGGTCTTTCATCCAGTTTTTTGGTTCAAAAAAATTGAGAAAAAGAAAAGTTCCATAATTTAACCAAAGCAACCCAAAGACAAACACACACCCTAGTTTTCAGCTTAGGTTGTCTTCCTAGACTTCCTAGTTTATCCTAAAGTCATAGGCAGGCAGTGAGATGCCAAGGACAGTTATACAGAATGGGAGATCATATATTTACTGTATTTTAGTTTTTGAACTTATACAGTTAGGATAATTTTCTAGAAAGCATGCTCATTTATGCTTGGTGAATGTTGAAATGGATATGGATGAATAATCAATAAAATTACATCTAATGATTATGAAAGTATAAAGTCAAATATTGTGTACATTAAAATCAGAATCTCAGTAGAGAATACTTGCTAAGGTATGTATGTTAGAGAAGGGCTTTATTATTTTGTGGAAAATAACACAAAATTCCAGGAAATTATGATCCTGCTGTTCTCCCCATAAGAGTATTAGTGATATAGAAAAATCACTTTTGAAATAAATGTTTATTAGGATAAAATGGCAATGCAGTTTTTCCTTCTTAATAATCAAAGGTTTTTTTTTAAGACTTCAAGGAAATAATGGAGAAATTAAACAACTAGAGAACTTTAAAAGAACAGAAGAGACTGAAAATGTGAAATTCAGCACAAATGATCTAAACAGCTTCGTAACAAGAATGATACAATGACACTCATGAGATGTACCAAAAATGATTACCATTGTATCTTGAATATAGTGAATTACTAATTTATGTATTTAAAAATTACCATTGTGTTACACAGATTACTGGTTCCCAATCCTGGTTATACCACATAAAATTGGGAAGCTTTTTATAAAAATACTTCTCATGCTCAGGCTCCATAGGCTTATGTTTGATCCTGAAACAACAGGTGGGACGGAACGAGCTCTTGTGGTAACCTGTCTGAGCGCTCTGGCTTGTGGCTAGGAACCCAGTGTTAGTCTTTTGAAGGAAGCCCTGAAGAGCAAGGTGAAATCTCAGCAGGTATCTCCAGGACGATCAGAAGATACAAGAGTCTCTCACCTACCTGGCTTGACACAGATGATCTCAGTGCTCTGCTTCTTAATGTCATAAACGGCAGATGATAATCAGCACTTTCTTCCTCCTCACCCAGATTGCACGTGGAAGCTCTAGGTCAACTGCTCAAAAATTAATTGCTGAGTGGCCAATTCCATGAATTTACTCCAAAAAGAAAAATAATTCATTTTATCAGTTTGAATCTTATCTTTATAATAACACCATTTTTTATTACATTTGTCCCTCCCAGATTTCTTTCTGCTGCAAAGACCAAAAGGACAGCTGAAGAAGAGAAAGAAGCATAACATAGTCATGCACAAGAGCATAATCATGAGCATGAACTAACCTCAGAAAATTTTGTGCATATATATATACACACACACACAAACACACACACACACACACAATTTTAAACCAAACTGAACCATTAAAAGAAAGAGTAAATTTGGCTGGTGGCTTTCTATGAATTCCCCTGCTGCATGTGTATTGAGTTGGGTGTAGTCCCAGACCAACCAGTTCACTCGTAAGTCCCAGGACTTTCCCCATTTGAAATCTCTCTGCTCAAGAAAGCTCCTGGTCCTGCAGGTTTGCTTATAGGGATCCATGAATTATTATTGTCTCCGTCTTTAACATGACATTTTTGCAAGGCCTTGACCACCCCCCCATAGAGTTTATCGGGCACAACTTTTTGGATACTTTGCTGGGAATAAGTCATTCTAAGACACGAGCACTATGATCAGCTAATGTTTCACTTTCTTGTGCTTGCTCATTTCTAAGACACCTCAGAATTTCAATGAATAAAGTCACAGCAACTCCAGGACACTCCCCCGTCCTTACGCCCCCTTACAAGTAATAAAGCCTAACTGAATGGCGAGCATTCACAAAGATACACTTTTTTGTTTTTCAGTTTCTCAATTTTGGCATTACTGACATCTTGAGCCAGAAAAGTCTTTGTTTGTTTGGGGGGGGGGTGCAGCGGAGGTGGGGGGCTGTCCTGTGCATTAACATTTAGTGGCATCTCTGGCATCTGCCCAAGTAGAGCCAATAGCACCCCCTCCTCTGCTGTGACAACCAAACATGTCTCCAGACATTGCCAAATGTTCCCTGGGAGACAAAATTGCCCCTAGTGAAAAAAACATGGAAGTTCACTTCCGGTACAACAGGGAATTCTAAAAGCCTTATTTAGATTACATCATAAAGCAGTTTTACTTCACTAGCATCACACAAAGATGATTGTTGACTCAAAGGATTCCATGATGGCCTATAATATGCTGGGACATATTAGACAGCTGAGCAAAGACTGTCTGAGGCTAGGAACTTGATCTGCTGTAATCTTTATTACATAAGTCATTGTGTCTCTAGTGGCCCTCAAATGACAGCCTATTTAGTCTGAGAATGCATGCTAAGGTAAAATATTCAACATCATAGTGGATAGATTGTTTCACAACTACGGATCAGTTGCCACTTTGATTGTTGGGGTCCAGACGCTGCTATGCAATCTAATTTATTTTCCAGTAAAAATCTTTTAAAAAAAACAAACAAAATGGACTAAGGGAAAGCACGCCTTGTTTTAAAGCAAGCTACATAAGCATCATCTCATCACCATCTGAAGAACACTAGCAGAAACAGTATTGTGTGGGCTAAAACGTATATCGTATAGGCTCTCTATAGTTCCGTTTTTAAAGTTTGAACCCTATTAAGAGTGAACATTCAAGCTTCAGAAATTAGAAAAATATAAACTTCAGCTTTCATCACAATGTCTCTAGAACTTTTTAAATTACACTTCTAAATTCTATACAAAACAACTACTTCAAACTATGACAGAGGAGCTGGTGTTAATGTGACTGATTTTCCAAGAATATTAGAGGCAAATATCCCATTTTTTAAAACGTACCTGATAGAGTACTACTTACAAATGAGATGTTTCAGTTCATGAGAGTTTCCCTTATAATCCTGCTATTTATTATATGAGGAAGAAGAAAAAATAAACCAAATGTCTGCTCCAACTCCCTACTAAGAAGAGGTTGGTTCTATTTTAAATATGTTCCTTAGCTTTGGGTTTGGGTCACCCTATTCCACATCTCCCTATAACTGCTAATGTAAAATCCCCTAAGGTTGTTTCAAATGAATTTCTACTAAAAAATCTTGGCACTTGAGATAATGAACAAGACACACTTTCAGGACATCTTTCCTTTCTTTCCAATTTTCCTGCCTGTTCCCTTTATCCTTCTAATCCTTGTCCTGTAATTTTTAACCCAGTCTTTTTTTTTTTTGTTTGAGACAGGATGGAGTGCACCCAGGCTGGAGTGCAGTGGTGTAACTTTGGCTCACTGTAGCCTTGACTTCCTGGGCTCAAGGAATCCTCCCACCTCAGCCTCTTGAGTGGGTGGGAATACAGGCATGCCCCGCCATGCCTGGCTAATTTTTAAAAATTTTTTGTAGAGACAGGGATCTCACTATGTTGCCCAGGCTGGTCTCAAACTCCTAGGCTCAAGTGATCTTTCTGCCTCAGTCTCCCAAAGTCCAGTCTCCTAAAGTCAGTCTCCCTGAGACACCATGCCTGGCCTTGATCTGGTCTCTTTGTGATAAGAGAAATAGGTTGAAGGGATAGGTGTGTGTGTTTAACACACAGGATGTATATGTCCCAATTTTCTTAACATATCCTATTACACACACACATACATATACATCCCCACTGAGAAGGGCTTGGCCACTGTGTTTCCAAACCAAAGGAAAATAAAAGATGGGTAAGGACATGGTTTGGGAATGAGATAATAAGATATAGTAGGGCAATTTTTTAAACCACCAATAACCCCCAAAATTAAAACCCTTTAAAAATTGCTAACTTGCGAAATAATAAAGACAACATGCACAAATAGCAGAGATTCAACTCTAACACAAGTCAATTAACATAGGAGAGAATTTAAGTCTATTGTCTTTTTTATTTTATAAATGTATTTTATTTTACACTTTTTAATTCACCTTGGACCTAGCACATCCTAGGGTATTATACACTGATCAAACTGCTCCGCTAGAGATAGTTAAGTTAAACAGCAGTTTCCTTTCAAACTTACCCAGTTTTAAGAAATAGGAGTCTGTTTTTTTTTAAATTGTATACATGTTTATTTTCATTATAAATTTATTTAAATCACTTTGGACCCAGCATGTCCTTAGGTTTTACCCATTCATCAAACTGCTCTGCTGTGAGATAGCCAAGTTCAATAGCAGTTTCCTTTAAGGTGGATCCATTTTTGTGTGCTGTCTTAGCAATCTTTGCTGCCTTGTCATACCCTGAAGAAAAAACAAAAAAGATGACATATGGGTTAGTAGTAAAATTTGGTATTCTAAAGCAAAAGGTAACATAATTGTTTACTTGATATTGATGCTACATGGGCCTCTTAAATGACATTTTTTGCTTTTAAAAATAGTTAACAGTGATTAACTGAATACCTGTCATTTTTTATATAGAATAAAACATTTACTTTTCTTAAGAAATAAAGACTTAAACATACCTTACTTTATCCAGCAGATTTGTTTCTAAGTTGACATTTTCCACTAACTTGGATATTTTGAAGGGGAAAAAGTAGAAATTATAGCACCAAGACATAAAAATATACATCTGGGTGTATTTTTCAAACAACATGTGTAACTAGGAACAATTATCTTTCTAAGGAAGCATTAACAAGCTAAATGCTCCAGCCCTGCAGCAAACACCACACTGCAGGTCTGGCAACTGTGGTGAGTGGCTGTGAGAGGTGAGAGGTCCTGGCAGTGAGGCAGGGCCGGGCAGGGCCAGGGAAGAGGCGCCTCCAGAGCTGCTTCCAATGGCTCTTCTCCACATGGCTCTCCAGGCAATGGCTTCTATCCCCTCACCCCTCCCAGATGTTACAGGGACGTAAGTGTAGGAGAGTTGGCAGAAATAGACACTGTACAAAAGATCACAGGCATACTGTTTACTTCAGTTATTTGCTTTTCAAATTAACAAAAGTAGTGGCAGGGCAGTTCTGCAAGTTGTCTTGTCTTAACATATGTATTTTTTAAGTCAAAAGGAAAATGCAGGAATGAAAATGAAACCAACGAGGGAGAAAAAAATTAAAAAATAAGATCAGAGAAATATAACCAAGAGGAAGAAGCTTGCCAACTCAACAAGATGGCATGTGTCAGTATGCAACTGCTAACCAGCTGTAAAAGAAATTATGAGCATAGTTAATGTTTTTACTTAACTGAATTTGTAAATGCTAAATATGTTGAAAAGGGCATTTACTGATCTGAAAGGGCATTTACTGATGCCATTTACTGAAAAGGGCATCTTTTGTAAAGCAGAGAAGCTTTGAGAAAGAATTTGCATGTTCAGCTCTTAGGATCAATATATCCAATACTTTTATTTTAATAATGGCTTTAAAGTCTAACCATTGATGCTTTCCACTTTCAGTTGTCAAGTCCCATAAGACATTATCAACAACCAGCCTGGTACATAATGAAAATACAAGAAACCCATGACTCAGAGGCTTGTAAGGCTCACACGCAGTCAACTAGTGAGATAGTGATGACCCACCTCACTCTTACATGGCGCCAAACAATTCTTTTTATGTCACAATAAGTTGATTCTAAGAAAGATTTACCAATCATTCAACTTTAGGAGACCCTCTAACTTAAAAGTTTTGGCAACACATTCTGAAGTAAAGATCTGATGAAAACTGCTCACACGAGCCCCTGGATTCCCTTTTATACTTTTCCAGACGTAGCTGATGTACCATAATTTGAAATGCATTAAACATTATTAACAATCTCAATACTACACCAAAAAACTGACATCATACCGGGTTCAGAGCTATCTAAAAGCATCAAGTGAGCTTTAAGTTTTAAATATTGAAATTACAGCTTGATATAAAATGAGGAATATAAAATTTCCCTTGAAAGTTCAGGATTATAGAAGAAAGCCTGAAAGCAGTAGCCATATTATGCCAAATGAGTGAATCATTACTTGTTCTATAATAGAATATCGGAAAATATGTTAACCTCAGTTTAGCAGAAGGGAGAAATGGGAAAAAGGCTTTTAACACATCATAATATAATGCAACATAATGCCTGAAAAATCTACGAAAGTGAAAATGGTTTATTTAATGGGGATCACTATGACCAGTACACAACCCAAATCTATGTTTGATTCTACATAATAAAATATTTACAATTTTGAAAAAGGCTTATAATAGCATGGCTTTAGACCAAATATTTGCATTTTCCTCCCTCCCTTTCTCTAGAAGCAATGCATACATAACCTTTTCGTTTTAACTGTAACTTTCCATTTCTGAACTAAATAAAACAACAAAATTAAAGCATTGTAGAGATCTAAGGAAGGTAGAAAAATGAGTTCATTCCATGTTGCTAATCGGCAGTGCCACCTAGTGACATTACCCACTGACAGTCTTAAAAATAACTTCCCCAATGGTCTGCATAGAATATTTAGCATCTGAAGTCCATTAAGATTAAAATAAGTCTTAACTAGTGCTTCTGAATACATTTCAAATAAAATGAGGCATAACAGATCAAGTTTTGAAAGCACTATGACACCATACAAGTCATAAATGTGACTTGTATAAATATTCCAATTTCAGATATTTTGAGATTTTACTAAAACCATATCCAATACTAAAACCATATCCAAAAGAACTTTGCTGTTCTCAAACACTGATCCACTTGTCTCTTAAAAATGTTGTAGCTTTTAAATTTTGTATTCAAAATGATACTATTATTCCTTAAATGCTTACCTATGTGAGGATTGAGAGCTGTCACCAACATTAGAGACTCATTCATCAGCTTGTTGATCCTTTCTGTATTGGCCTGGATTCCTACCACACAGTTTTCTGTAAAGGAAACTGAAGCATCCCCTAGCAGCCTGGCTGAGTGTAACACATTTTTAATCTTTGAGAGAGAGAGAGAGAGAGAGAGAAAGAGAGAGAGAAAGAGAGAGGCATTACTAAGGCAACATGTTTTTTGTCCAATAACATATTGTTTGTTGGTTGATAGCAAATATACAATTCAATAAACATATAGAACTCCTACAAATTTTAAGGCAGTGTACCCAAGGAAACAAATGTGAAAGAAAGCTTGAACAGTTGAAGGCACAGAAATCTAAAAAAGGTGAAAAAAACGTAAATACAAATGACTAATACACAAAATATCCCATAGAAAGTATTTTAAACAGAGGTTTGAAGTGTTAGAGACCATACACAAAGAGAAATTAATTCTCATTGTAGGAACTGATGAAATCCTATTTTATGGAGAGGACTTAGCCCGAGAAAGAAAAAGAATCCTCCATGCAGAAGAAAGAGGAGCAGAGATGCGGAGGTTCCGAAGTTCAGCATCAGTGTGAGACAATTAGCAAAGTTAGGGCAAAGTCTAACCATCACCAAGTTTCTGGGTTTTCCATGCTTTAACAAAACAGATACTCAAGTCACTATAAAATAATTTTTTTCATACAATGTTTAAAAACAGTACAAAATCAATTCGTTTGTTTTGGCTTTCTTTTTTAAAGCAACATTTCCGATTATTTATTAAGATGTATACACATCCTAATATCCTCTGATCTAAAACTCCAGGGTCTGAAATCTAGATTTCCAACAATGGACTTTAATAGAAGACACAATAATCTATGTTTTGATTTGCTAGTAATAACCTTACAGTAAGGCAAATATTATCATTATTTTATATTAAAATAAATTTTTAAAAAGATTAACAAGACATTTATTGTTATGCATCTGTATATATTGGGTATCTAATGTTAACTGGAATCTGATCTGAGAGCAAAATTTTAACAGTTTCAATTCTGCTTTGGCCTCTGTTTTTATTTATCACTAGAACATTCATTCCATGAGGGCAAAGAAACCCTGTCTTTTTCACTGCTCTGTCTCTCTTACGCATCCAGTACAGTGCCTGATACAAAATGGTACTCAATAAATATTTAGTGAATACATCTAATATCCTTAATATGTATCATTTGCATATTCATATCAAATTAAAATGAGAATCTACAACAGATTCCAAGAGGAAGTAAGCCCCTAATAACACTTTGTACCAATTAGAAGGACTCTAAATGATGGCAACAGCTCCACTATCTGAAGCTGAGGAAACTCGATGAGAAATGGCACAATGCATCTAATGATCTTTGTCAAGGTGAAGAAAATAAACAGTTTTGATGGACACAATGTTTTCAAGTATGTGGAAAGGTAAAGCCAAACAATGAAAGAAAGACTGACAGGCCACAGAAAGAGAACTGGTGAAAAAATGTTCAAGAAACGAGGGATGAAGAATGTTTCAAGTAGGGACAGTCAACATAGCTCCTAGTAAGAGAAGAACTAACTGCAATGCCCGTTGGACTACGGTAGTTACCAACAACTGGGAGAATAACTCAAGCATGTGTGGAGGGGGCTATGCTGGGCTGTGGTGACTCTAGCATAAATGAAAGTGAGTGTGTGTCATTCTTTTAAGAAGACTGAATTTGAAAGAAGAAAGCAGCAGCATGAGAAGGAGACAGGGTTGTGGGGAGGTGTTTTATTTTTCTTAAACTGGGGCTATTTTAAAAAACCATCAAATTGCTTAGGGTAAAAGTCAGTTAATTTCTAATATCTAGGATTATTCTGCTAACTGAATAAATGCTTGATTTCCAGCTGCTACTTATGTCACCCAACTACACAATGTGGAATCACTAGAAGTCTTTACAAAACACAAAATCAAGATAATTAATCTTTGGTCAAAAAACATTAAAAGTCGGCCTGAAAGCCTACCATCATTGGTTTGAAAACATTCAACTCAAAATGTCCATTGCTGCCTCCAACGGTTACAGCGACGTGATTCCCCATGACTTGGGCTGCAACCATGGTCATTGCTTCACACTGAGTAGGGTTCACCTTGCCTTCAAGAAAACAGCCAATGACAGAATAAGATTAGAATTTGTGCAAATAACCAGGAAAATAAAGAAATCTAATTTCATTAAATAAAGTAAAATATACAATAAAGCAAGGCCCAACCATCAGTGTAATTTAATGAAACAAACCAACCAAGGAAAGTGAGACAGGCAGCCACAAACTGAATCATTCAGTGGTTAATGAGCAGCCACACCTACATATTAAATATAGTTCTCCACCTTCATGATTTTGTTCATTCTATATTTATGGAGCCAGGCACTCAACATACAATGGTGAATATGAAAGGTGCAGGGCCTGCCCTTGGAGAACTTGGAGGCTATGGAGAATGAGCCAGCAATTACAAGGGGTAAATACAGAGAAGTGCATGCTGCTATCAGAGCACTTATAAAAGCGACCGTTCACTAACACTTGGGAGGCTTCCTAGGGGAAAGTGATGCTAAGCTAAAATTGTCCTATTTATTACATGAGTCTCTGGAACCCTACTACCCTGCTCATACTCCTTGGACAAGCTCAAGTTTGAATCAAACAACCCAGATTCCTCTGACCAGTACAAGTGAACACACTGGAAACATTATTCGGTAGATTATTTCCTTTATCTGTGATTCCCCATTTCTCTTTCTTTCAGCAATCACCTTGGGTTTGCAATCAGCTAAACCCTGATGTCATTTTTCAACATGAAGTACTTTAAAACAAAATCTCATCTCCTCTTATTCTGCAGATGCATACATTTTTTAAAAAATCTAGAGTCAGGCCTTTCTCACTATTAAAAGTTACGCTGTCAGTTTTAGCCCAAGCTACAAAGGCCTTTATGGATCTCAGTTCCATCATCCCTAGTATTGCTATCTCAACTCTGCTATCTGCTAATATGATTAGCATGTATTCTCTTCCTTCATCCTCAGTCACCAGTAAAGTATTGAAGGGCAGAGGCCTTCAGCTTGTTACCAAGATATTCTTCTAGACTGAAATCACCTCATTAGTCACTCCTTAAATGTCACCATTCACCCAGCTATACTCATCTGCCAGCACTGCCCACGCTTCTCCACTGGAATCAATGACTATCATGCGAATCTATCAAAGGACTTAGAGAAATCCAGACATACAGTGTTGTATCACTTGCTATATCTAACAGGCACATAATGCAATGCAAAAAACGAAGTAAGTGAAGTTTGGTATAACTTCTTTTTATTCAACCCATGCTGCTCACTTTAACAGCCTGTTCTACATTTTGTAATGTGGGATTCAAAATACTTGCTGCTAAGTCAGATTCTTTTTTCCTATCTTGTTAGGTGATGTACCCAGAAGTCCCGATCAGAGGACCACAGACATTCTGAAATAGCGTGCCTTGCATATCCAGCTTTGGAATAACTTTAAACAAAACAGACCGCCTCCACAGCTAAGAATGCCTAGGATCTAGTCAAGTTCTAGCTCCAAAATTTACTAGCTATGTGATTACCTGGCATGATGCTGCTTCCTGGTTCATTTTCAGGCAAGATTAGTTCTCCCAGACCTGACCGAGGACCAGAACCCAGAAAACGAATATCATTTGCTATCTTCATCAGACTGCAGGCAGTAGTGTTCATGGCTCCACTGAGCTCAACCAGAGCGTCATGAGCAGCCAGAGCTTCAAATTTATTTGGAGCAGTGACAAAAGGCAAGCCTAAAGACAAGAAAAAATAACCTAAATGGGTGAACAAGTTAAATTAAGCATTTTTCTACTATCAGCAAGTTAAACAGAAAGTTCCAATATATAAAAAAACAAAAATTTTCCTTCAGAAAAAAGTGTTTACTTAAGACTCAAATTTTGTCTACATTTTTTCTTTTTTTTCTTTTTTTTTTTTTTTTGAGACAGAGTTTCGGTCTTGTTACCCAGGCTGGAGTACAATGGCGCGATCTCGGCTCACCGCAACCTCCGCCTCCTGGGTTCAGGCAATTCTCCTGCCTCAGCCTCTTGAGTAGCTGGGATTACAGGCACGCACCACCATGCCCAGCTAATTTTTTTGTATTTTTAGTAGAGACGGGGTTTCACTATGTTAACCGGGATGGTCTCGATCTCTTGACCTCGTGATCCACCCGCCTCGGCCTCCCAAAGTGCTGGGATTACAGGCTTGAGCCACCGTGCCCGGCTTTGTCTACATTTTTTAAAGAAGTCTTAAAGGAGTACAAAGAATCTGGTATTACATTTTTTAAGTTTTTTGAGACAAGGCCTCACTCTGTTGCCCAGGCTGGAGTGCAGTGTGGCTTGATCACAGGTCACTGCAGCCTCAACCTCCATGGCTCAGGCAATCCTCCCACCTCAGCCTCCAGAGTAGCTAAGACTACAGGTGCACACCACCATGCCCAGCTAATTTTTAGCTTTTAGTAGAGATGGAGTTTCGCCATTTGCCCAGGCTGGTCTCAAATTCCTGGGCTCAAGCGATCCACCCAGCTTGGTCTCCCAAAGTGCTAGAAATTACAGGTGTGTAATCCCACTGTGCTTAGCCAGGACTACATTTAAAAGATGAAATAACACGTACAATAAATGGATTGAAACACAATCCTATTGTAAACACACATATATGATGCCTGACTATGCTTGAGTAAAGATAAAACGTATGTGGGAATTCATTCTAGTTTATTCCACACTCCTTTCCTAATACAATTTTTTTTTCTATCCTTTTCTCTTTTTTTTTTTTTTTTTTTGAGACAAATTCTTGCTCTGTTACCCAGGCTGGAGTGCAATGGTACGATCTTGGCTAATTGCAACTTCCTCCATCAGGGTTCAAGCAATTCTCCTTCCTCAGCCTCTTGAGTAGCTGGGATTACAGGTGCCCACCACCACACCCAGCTAACTTTTTTAAAATTTTCAGTAGAGATGAGGTTTTGCCATGTTGGGCAGTCTGGCCTCGAACTCCTAACCTCAAGTGATCTGCCCACTTTGGCCTCCCAAAGTGCTGGGATTACAGGTGGGAGCCACCACATTCTTTGTTCACTTTACTGTGCTCCATTGTCTCCACTAGCTAGGGACCCACAACATCCCCTGTAAAAATACAGTGCTAAAATGAGCTTGATATTCTCAGTTAATATTCCCCATGTTAAAAATTTTAAAAATCTACATTTGCCAAACCCTAAACGTAGCGTCCTTTTCTATGAAAATTTGATTTAAAGACAAATCAGCTGGTAGGCTATCATGTGCAGTGTATGATTACCTCTACCCTAACCCTCTGGTAATATCTGCATCTTAATAAGAGTTTTCTGAAGATGACATCTTGGCCCTAATCATAGTTATCATTATCTGAAGTATAGTACTCTGTCTACTAAAGGGAAGACAGGATTCTAAAAGGTCAATAATTCAAAGAATTATCACAGCATGACATAAGAAAAAAAAAGAAATTTAGTCTGTCTACAACATACTTACTATTCAAATAACTAACTCAACAGTCAGTTTTTTCTGCCTATTTTGAAAACTGCTATTCAAAACTTTAAAGGGAAAATAATTGAAAACTACACAGTAAACAAAGCTAACACTGTTAGATTTTAATGGCATGTTGTATAAACTCCTATATGGAAAAAAATTTTAAAGCCAAAGAATTAAAATTACAATTTCAGAAACAGATATAAAACACACATTTGATGGAAAAATATTATTTCTAACTTTAAATTCACAAGAATTCAAGACAAGAACACCCAGAAAATATAGAGACCATGGCCGGGCGCGGTGGCTCAAGCCTGTAATCCCAGCACTTTGGGAGGCCGAGGCGGGTGGATCACGAGGTCAAGAGATCGAGACCATCCTCGTCAACATAGTGAAACCCCGTCTCTACTAAAAGTGCAAAAAATTAGCTGGACATGGTGGCGCGTGCCTATAATCCCAGCTACTCAGGAGGCTGAGGCAGGAGAATTGCCTGAGCCCAGGAGGCGGAGGTTGCGGTGAGCCGAGATCGCGCCATTGCGCTCCAGCCTGGGTAACAAGAGCGAAACTCCGTCTCAAAAAAAAAAAAAAAAAAAAAAAAAAAAAAATATAGAGACCATGTATAATGAGAAATGAAAATGAGAAATCATTCACGTGACCACTAACCTGTAAGTGCAGCTACTTTCGCGGCAACCTTTTCTGCAAAGCCGATTCTAGTATTTAAACCTGTACCAACAGCAGTGCCCCCAGCTGCGAGCTCATAGATCCTTGGCATGGCAGTTTTTATTCTTGACATTGCATATTTCACTTGTTGAACATAACCACTAAATTCCTGAAGAGAAAATTTAAGAATAAGTAATTCCTAACAGCTTACAAATTAACAGCATTAAATAGAAATTTTTAAAAATAACTTTCAGAATACAAAATTATAAGCTAATCAAGTTTTATTTATACTATTTCAAATCTTATGATGAGTAAAGTATAGGGAAGGATGAGGATCTATAGAACCATAAGGTAGGACAATGCCACTGATAATATGCAGCCCATTTACTATAATTTAGTCTTTTAATAGAAACCAAAGAAAAACAGCACAGGAAACAAACTTTAAAAAGAATAACTTTACTAAATTTTTGGTTTACTTGCAGTCTACTAAAGAAACTGAAGTGATATCTTATTTTTGGGGATGTCTCAGACAACTCTGATAGAAAAAATAAAAAATAGTAACTCCTCTCCCCGCAAAAAATGCAAACATAGAAATCTTCTCCATACAATTTCAGTGTATAAACCTTACAGGAAATATGAAGACATTCTCCAGAGACTTGGGAAGCTAATGACTCACTGAATAGCACAGGAAGGTAACAGTTTGCATTCAAAGACCTTCCAAAAAGAAAAGGAGGTGAACAGTAGAGTCAGCTCATTGCATTTATGTGCCAGTATCAACACTGGCTCCCAAATTATGGCATGCTTTAATTAAGGCAACCACAGAATTTATCATGGTTTGAACACAGAAAAGGCTCTATTAATAGTTATGCAGAAACAAAAGGCATAAACTGGGTACACTAAATCGATCCTTTTTTCCTGCTTGAAAACACTAAAAAGCCATGATAAGTGCTAAGATTTCATGCTGTTCTAAAGAAAACACTTCAAAAGATATAACGAATTATAGGTAAAACTGATGCATCTGATTATACAGTCATGCACCACATAATGATGTTTCAGCCAACAACAGACCACATAGACAACAGTGGTACCCTAAGATTATAAAACCACATTTTTACTGTACCTTTTCTACATTTAGATATGTTTAGATACACAAATACCACGTGTTATGCTTGCCTATTGTATCCAATGCAGTAACATGCTGCACAGGTTGTAGCCTAGGAGCAAAAGGCTGTATCAGATAGCCTAGGTGTAGAGAAGACTGTACCATCTGGGATTGAGTGACTATACGCTGCGATGTTCACACAACTATGAGACTGCCTAAGGACGCAGTTTTCAGAACACATTCCCATTGTTAAGCAACACGTGACTATGTGTAGATACACACACTCACACACACATACACCCTAGGTACATTCACTTATAAAATACACTTTGACTAGGGAACAATGCACAAACTCAAAAAACAATCCCAATAAAAGCAAATATAAATGATTCTGATAAAGTCAAACAGAAAAATATAATTTTCAGTTATAATAGGAAGAATGATGATTTTACACAGGAGGCTGAGTCATGGCCCAAATGGTATTTAGTATTGTGGTTTCCAACACCAAAAAAAGGTTAAAATTGGAAACCTGAGGAATATTTGAAAGTTTCAAACACACATACTGTTCATCCTTCAAAATTATGCATGGTCCTAAGTACTGATGATGCAAAGAGAAATGAGATACAGCCTTAAGAAGCAACTTAATCCAGTGAGTTCAATTTAGTCCCATCATTTGTTTTTCAATTACTCATTTCAAGTTTTCCTCATTCCTTCCATAATGAAATTAAGCTACTCCAATTGGAATGTGAGTTTACTAAAACAAAAATCATTTCCTGTATTTCCTTACATTTCCTCCACAATGCATACTACTAGATATTCCTTAAGGCATTGATTAAAAAAAAACATGAAAATACTTTCTGGTATCTTGGAGAAGAGAGTAGTATCCCTTTCACATGTCGTCAAAAACATCTTAAAAAGATCTACTGGCCAGGTATGGTGGCTCACACCTATAATCCCAGCACTTTGGAAGGCTGAGGTGGGTGGATCACGAGGTCAAGAATTGAAGACCAGCCTGGCCAAGATGGTGAAACCCCATCTCTACTAAAAAAATTTAAAAATAAAAAGATTAGCTGGGGTGGTGGTGCATGCCTGTACCCAGCTACTCAGGAGACTGAGGCAGGAGAGTCACTGGAACCTGGGAGGTGGAGGTTGTAGTGAGCCAAGATTGCGCCACTGCACTCCAGCCTGAGCGACAGAACAAGACTCCATCTCAAAACAAAACAAAAAAGATCTACCTTGTTTAATCAATTTAAAATTAAATTTTAAATAACTTACTAATTTAGGTAAGAAAGACAATTAAAAAACCATGATGATACTGCTGGAGATGACAGTGGCGATGGTGGCGATGATGGTAGCTAACATTAATGGGTACTTACTATGTGCTACGCATGCTTCTAAGCACTCTACATGAATCAATTCATTAGAACTTCACGACTATCCTATGAATGAAAATTACTTTCCTCATTTTATAACTCAGAAAACTGAGGCACAGAAAGGCTAAATGGTTTTCCTGTGGTCCCATAATTATACATGGCAAAGCTAAGATTTGAACAGAGCAGTCTGGCTCAGTCTGGCTTATAGCCAGTACACTCTGCTTTTGTTCTGGATGCCAATAAAAATTACTGATTGGTTGTACAGAACAATCTCTGTCACTGAAGTCAACGGTTACAAATTTGGCCTTTCGAACCAGTCAGATTTCAAGGATGACACATTGGCCATTTGTACCAAGCTCTAAATTGAATAAAATTAATCAAACTCCTATACCTGCCCAAGAGTAAGTGGAACAGCATCCTGAGTATGAGTGCGTCCAATTTTGATGATCTGCGCAAACTCTTTGGATTTGGCCTCAAGAGCATCGTGTAGCTTCTGTAGTCCTGGTAACAGTACTTCATGAACTTCTATTGCAGCAGCAATGTGCATTGCTGTGGGAAAAGTATCATTTGAGCTCTGTTGGAAATTTTTCAAAAGAAATATAAAATGTCAAATCAGAGGCAACAAAAATAAACTTCTCAATTAAATAACTCTCTACTCAAAACTCAGCTCATTTACATTTATGTGTGGTATGTCATAGGTAAGTTATAGAATCAAATAAGCAGCATCTTCATTTTTAATACATACTCAGAATTGTATTATATACATTAAGTATACTGAATGTATTGCATAATATATATAATACTTATTATAAATCTGCCTGCTAATATATGACAACAAAATATAGAGAAGTATAGTCAACAACTATACTTGTAGTTGAATATCTTATATCAAATTATATCAATTATTTAATTATATATTCAATATCTTACAATTGAATATCTTACAATTATACAGTACATACAGCTCTTTATGTATTAAGTTTAGAAATATTCTGTGAAGCAGGTCACCACTTTAAAAATAGGAAAGCCAAGCCCTCAAAAAGATTGTATAAATGCCAAAATACTTAGCAACTGGCAAATCTGAGACCTAACTAGGTAGTATATACTCAGTGCTCTTCCCTCAACTGTTGACCCTGTACTTTTAAAACACAATTATCAAGCTGGGTGCAGTGGCTCATGCCTATAATCTCAGCACTTTGGGAGGCTGAGGCAGGGGGATCAATTGAAGCCAGGAGTTTAAGACCAGCCTGGGCAACAGACCAATACCCTATCTCTAAAAATATTTAAAAAGTTAGCCAGGCATGGTGGTGTGTGCCTGTGGCCCCAGTTGCTTGGAAAGCCAAGGCATGAGGATCGCTTGAACTCAGCATTTTGAGGCTATAGTGAACTATGCTTACTCTACTGCACTCCAGCCTAGGTGACAGAGTGAAACACCATCTCTACACACACACACACACACACACACACACACACACACACAGAGTATACTTTTAACAAGATACATTATTTATATATTTTAACTGTTTATTATGCAAAATATAAAGTACTTACAAAATTAGGATGAATGGTATAATAAACATTTATGTACCTGTCACCTAAATTCAAATAGCTTAAATAATTATCAACATGTAGTCAATTATGTTTCATCTGTAACTCTACCTTTCTGAAGCAGATTTCAGACTTCAGTATATATAAAAGATAAATTTATATTTAAAGGAAAGTATTAGACTGGAAAAATCCTTTATACAATGAACTTACATGAAAAAACTTCTTTCTCACTACTTAAAAATATATTATAACTAGCATCCAGATCTCAGTTTCTAAATATCATTTTCCTATAAAAATTTATCAACAGTTCCTTGAAAAATGGATGTTTCTAGGGATGGCACAGAAACAACACAAGATGGTGAGCTTAGAGCATCTTAAGGTACCAAAAAGTTAGAACACGCTTAAGAAAAATAAAAGGATGGTGGCATGCCTAAAGGACACAAGAGCCAGTGGAATTGGGTTCCCAAAGCTGAAAGAATTTAAGCAACAATATAAACAAAAGTTTGCAATTATAACCTGAAGAATAAAATAAATAACCATAAATCCATATTGATATACACAAATAACTGAATAAATAAATATATTGGGCAGGGAGAACAAATCTTCCTTGCAGAAAAATTCAATTAACAAATATAGAATGAATAAAGGAACTGAAAAATCACTATTAAAACACCATTGAAGTAATCGCTGTAGACAAAGATCCCCTGGTGAATGCTAAAAATAGTGGGAAAAAGTTTAAGGAAAATGAAGATAATTGCATAGCCTCAAGGTAGCACTATTAACTACTACAGTGATTTTAAAGTCCGAAAACTTTTTGATACTCCTCCCTCCAGAAACTGAAGCTCAAATATAGTGCCTAGAACGCAAGCAGGGTTTAGTGACCTATTTCTAAATAGGGTATAGAAGAAGAAAAATAATAATTCTACCCCAGAGACATCTGGCAAGCTCCCACGTAACCAAATGATTAAGGTTAACATCACTAGTAACAAGTCATGTTGCTACCATGAACCCCTGATACGATGCAATGAGAAGAGCTTTTTATTTCTGTGACAGTTTTCTCAAAAATTCAAAAGTCTTAGTCAACTGAGAAAACATCAGACACACCAAAAGTGAGGGACATTCTACAAAATACCTGACCACTACTTTCAAAAGTGTTAAGGTCACTACTATGTGAAATCCTAACCCCTAAGGTAATAGTATTAGAAGATGGGGACTTTGCAAGGTGATTAGGTCATGAATAGAATTAGTGCCTTATAAAAAAGGGACCCCAGAGAGCTCCCTTGTCCCTTCCACCATATGTGGACACAGAAAAGAAGGCTATCTACAAACCAGAAAGTGGGCCCCCATCAGCCAATGAATTGGCCAGTGGTCTGATCTTGGACTTCCAGCTGTCAGAACTGTGACAAATTAACTTCCATTGCTTATAAGCCAGTCAGTCTATTGTATTTTGTTATTGCAGCCCCAAAGGAATGACACAATTGCAAAAGACCAAGAAATTGTCACAGATTGGAAGAAACTAAGGGGGCATGTAACTAAATGTAATGGATAGCCTTGAGTGGATCCTGAAAAAGGACTTGAGTGGAAAAACTGGGGAAATCCTCGGTTTTTAAAAAAGTTTCCACTAAGTGGAAAAACTAAGTTTTTTTAAAAAAGTCTGAGGTTTTTTTTTTAAAAGTCTGTTGTTTAGTTAAGAGCACTGTATCAGTGAATTTCTTAGTTTTGATAAATGTCCCATGGTTATGTAAGATGTTAACATTAAGGGAAGCTGAGTGAGGGGAATATAGAAACTATTTGAACTACCTTTGTAATTCCCTTATAAATCTAAAATTATTTCAAAATAGTTTTCAAAAATAAGCCAAACAATAAAATAAAATATACAATAAATTCAGGTGTCTTAAAAGTAATTTTTATAAGGACTGAGACATAAAGCCAAGATTCCTAAAAAACTAAGGAATATAAGAAGCCTTATCCTTTAAATAATGAACCCTCCTTGTCATAAAATGAATGCTTGTTTTACGAGAAAAATCTCAGGTATGCTTTTCAATTTATAACAACAAAAAAGAAAAGTTTTTTACATACTGACCTGGCTTTTATTAACATGATCATTGGGATGCACAGGTTTCTTGCTGCCAAGTTCACCTCCTAACATTTCAATTGCTCTATTGCTAATGACTTCATTTACATTCATATTTGTCTGAGTTCCTGATCCAGTCTGCCATACCACGAGAGGAAAATGATCATTTAATTTACCTTCAGCTACCTGCAGAAAAGTTAAAAATGAGTATTTCTGAAAAGGAAATAATATTTATTTCGTGATTTTTTTATCAACCATAATTAAATGTTCCATTTATAGAACTATTTTAAATATGTTCATTGTTTTCATATGCTAAATGACCTGCTAATTATGCCACAGAGTTTGAATACAGTTGACCCACAGATTTAAGCTTCTGAAGCATCACTTGCTCCAACCACAGATACTCTAAAAAGTAAAGTATTATCTATACTGAATGGTATGACAATTCACTGGTTTCAAATGAAAAGGGAATCAAAGCCATCTTTCTTATTTTTCTCCAAGTGCCTCCTCTAATAGAGGGCCACCTGTTAAGGCTGGCAAATATGTTTAGTCTTTAGATATATTTGTTGCTGATGCTCAGCAGGAATATCCAACAGATGTTACTGCCAGAGTCAGCATGATAATGAGCTAGTGACTTGAAAATGTGAGTTCACTAATAGCTACTTCATTGCACAGATGTCCAATGAGCAGTAATCACCAAATGTAGAAATAAACACTGCCCAGCTTTGCCCCTATTTTTGTTGTATTTTTATACTTTCAGCTTTTGTGTTAGTTTTTGGATGGTGTGCTTTGTAAAGTGTGGGTGCTTAAACTTCTGAAATGATTTTAGCTTAAAAAATCAGATTGCACTTCAGAAATCTATTACCTTGAACAACTGGTCCACAGTAAAATAAAACCTTTTTCTAGTTACATAAAAATATGTGATTAGTGTAGAAAATTTTGAGAACTGAGAGTCACTATAGTTCCACTGCTTAGTAATTATGACTATTAGCATGTTGGCATCTCCAGTCTCTAATGCAATGAGGGTGTGTGTGTGTGTATGAGAAAACACACATTATCTGTTCATTTTTTCCTAAACAAAATTAGGATCATAAAATACATATATTTTTACAAACTTTCCTCCCTATTTCTCATAGGTTAGGCTTTGCTCACGCCAATCTTCAAAAAGGTAATTTTCTATAATTTACAATATAAATATAATTTATATAAGTAGCTGTTATACTTGGGTATTGTCTAATTTGTTTTCATTATTATAAATAGTGCTGTAATTAACAACATTATATATACAGTTCTGTTACCTCTGATTGCTTCTTTAAGACAATGTTATTAACACATTGGTAAAATTACATTCTCATGCATTATCAAATAATCACTAGTTTTAAAAAAATTTATATATAAAACAAGAACTCAAAGTTCAAACATTATCTTTTCAAAAAATTTTCTTAAAACTATATAAATTAACAAGGAATATCAAGAGGCTTAAAAACAAAAGGTGTAAAATCATCCAGAAATTTTGTCACAATGCCATATTTTAAGCACCATATTAATATCATCACTAAAAATAATGCTATCACCCTACCCTAAAATTCATTAATTCAAGAATTCACAGTTCCCCTTTCCTTCTGCCAGAGCATATCATTATCCAGAGTATGACATGGGTCTGAAGATATTAAGTAAACACACTTATCACCTCCTACCTCATCTGCTGCCTTCATTATTGCATTGGCAAGCTTTGGATCAAGACCATAATCCTGGTTTACTTCAGCAGCCGCTCGCTTCAAGATGCCAAAAGCTTTAATAACTGGGGTCTAAAATTAATCAGAAAAATATTTCAAATTTGCAATTTTACTTATGCATAAAAGTTTACTATTTTGGCAGACGCAAAAGCTATACATAAAACAATAACAAGTAACACTATAGCTCCAAAATGTTTAGGATATAGAGAAAGATTGTAGATAGAAATTCTTGAACCAAGAATCAACATTATCATAGATCTATTGCTTAAGGAACCAAATAAAAGCAAATTCATTGACTCTTCATATACGTGTGTGCGTATGCCTCCCATACATATACATGCACATACATATTCACATGTGTACAACGTACTACTCATCCTATACACACATACACAAAATAAAGTATATGTGTTTATTTCATATACTATATACAAAAACAAATAGTACTCAATCTTTTCACCAGCAAGAGTCATTATTTCCCCCCACTGGATCCCACGTTACATTATAAATGTTTCCTTCCTCTCTTCTGGTTAAGGAGATCAAGGAATTTTTTTGTATCTTTTTTTGGTTTGTCTTTTTTGGTAAAAGCAGTGCATTTTTATGAATAAACAAAAACAAACATCATAAAAAATTTAGTACTAATTCATGAATTGCTAACATAATGTTGCGGATTGTTTTAAACTTCCAAATACCTCCTATACCTTGCACCTGGGAAAAAGAATTCAGTGAAATTCAGTAAATAAGGATGGAGTATGCACTATATGCCAAACATTATGGTGAGATCTGGATATACAAAGATGAGCTAAGACTCTTAAAAAAAAAAATGACATATTTAACTGCCAATCAGTATGAGACTACCAGTTACTGACTGGGTTATCATTTCACCAAAGGTCAAAAAGCAATATATTCTACTAACCTAGTAAAGCCTTAATACTTGGCCAGGCGTGGTGGCTCAAGCCTGTAATCCCAGCACTCTGGGAGGCCAAGGCGGGTGGATCACAAGGTCAAGAGATCGAGACCATCCTGGTCAACATGGTGAAACCCCGTCTCTACTAAAAATACAAAAAATTAGCTGGGCATAGTGGCGCATGCCTGTAATCCCAGCTACTCAGGAGGCTGAGGCAGGAGAATTGCCTGAACCCAGGAGGCAGAGGTTGTGGTGAGCCGAGATCGCGCCATTGCACTCCAGCCTGGGCAACAAGAGCGAAACTCCGTCTCAAAAAAAAAAAAAAAAAAAAAAAGCCTTAATATTTAATAACTTCCTGGACATTTCTCTCAGAATTATTTTTTTAAACCCAAGCTTCTCCAGACAGGTGACAGCTTCCAATACATATAAACATATTTTAAAACCCTGTTAGTACTGATCTTTTCATTGTCTATCCCAAATCACCCCACCAAGCTTGAAAAGGATAAACTGAAATGAAAACCTAGTTTTTCTAAGATAAGTGAATTGTGAGTTCTTGTCAAAATTAATAATACAGATTGTTGTATAGATCCCATACCAGATTTTAACAGGTAAAGAGCAGAAGGGAGGAAATGAAGAGAATAATGAATGTATAAGAGAGAACCTGTCACCCTCAGAGAGGAATCAAAGTAAAAAAAAAAAAGAAAGACAAGTAATAAATAAGATATATTAAATACATAAACCTGGACCAGAGTAAGTATAAGCTGAGGGGCAAATAGAAAAGGAAAACCAGAAAATTTAAAATTCAATTTTAAGTAACTAAAATTAAAACATTAGACATGTCTTACTCAAACAAAATGGGGACAGATGGTACACGGGATTAGAAACTTAAAAGCTTTAAACATGAAAACAAATGGGGATTTAAATTTCCACAGGAACAAACACTGTGGTGGTGGGCTGAACCACTAACAAGGGCAAAGGTGAGTGCCAATCCACACTGGCCATCTGAATGGAGTGAATGACCCCCAGTGTTTATGGACCATCAAAATAAAAAAAGGTCATTCACAGACCATTCATAGCAGGAGGTTCAATGAACACCAAAAAAAAAGACAAAATATGTCACTGGGGAGAAAAGACAGGTCACCTTATTCTTCATTTACTCACGTTAGACATTCATAATCTTTTTAGCTTTGTTTTCATTTGGACCTCAGCTTAAAAGGGTTGAGTTTAACCATATTACTCAGTTTAGAGTACACACAGTCTGTTTTACATGTAATAACGTTCAGGAAACGAATCCACTTGAAGTCAAATGTGACAAAATTGAGACTCCAGGTGTCTGCCCTTCACAGATGTGCAACCCCAGTGGCTGTGCTGTCTCTGGAGCAGCAGCCATGCCTCACCAGAACATGCCGGATGAAACAGGTCAATTAAAACAGCAGCCATGCTCACTCCCACCAACTTTGTCACCCAACCACAGTCAAACTATGTTCATCTCACCACACCAAGCAGGCTGTAGCTAGTAATGACAAAGACATTTTTCTTCAAAGATTCAGCTGCCTGTTGTTAAGTTCTATAAATCTGTTAAGAGTCAGTCTTTAAGGCTTAGGAGTGACTTAAAATTATTTAAAATATAAGCATATTTATAAGATAACTGTTAAACGATATCTCACCGGATGAAGCCTGGCTACTTCTAGGCTTACTAGCCTATCCTGCATTGACTATTTTTCATACTCTGGTTGGGCTCCAGTAGAATATGTTATGTATTTCTCAATTCTTTTCACACTTTAACATCTCTGAAATCAAGATATATCTTAAAATCAATAGTAAGTCACAACCTTAGTTGGTAGCATTCTTCTTCCTTAGTGGTATACATTGGTGCATCTTCTAATTGATGGCATCTTAATGAAATGTGGTAGAAAGTTTTCTCATCATTTAATCATTCATATGGCATTGAATAAATAAATATTATCTATTACAGGCGTCCCCAAACTTTTTACACAGGGGGCCAGTTCACTGTCCCTCAGACCGTTGGAGGGCCGCCACATACTGTGCTCCTCTCACTGACCACCAGTGAAAGAGGTGCCCCTTCCTGAAGTGCGGCGGGGGTCCGGATAAATGACCTCAGGGGGCCGCATGCAGCCCGCGGGCCGTAGTTTGGGGACGCCTGATCTATTATATGTTAGACACGGTAAAGAGTAATACTTGGTGTTGTATACTATACACTTTTTTTGAAACTGAAACCAAAATACAAAGTGTAATTTTTTTAAAAAAATCTCAGTTTTAAATTAGTGGGGGGAAAAAAGAATGAGTATTGAAATAAAAATGTTTACAAACTGTAAAATCCTAGTAAAAATTTGTAAACACCCAGCAAGAATGAAAAGACAATCATTTAGTTCTATCAAATAAAAACCCAAAATAACTATTCACAATAGCAAAGACATGGAATCAACCCAAACATCCATTAATACAGGATAAAGAAAAAAATGGTACATTTCTACCATGGAATACTATGCAGTCACAAAAAAGAATGAGCTCATGTCTTTTGCAGGGATATGGATGGAGCTGGAAGCTGTTATCCTCAGCAAACTAACAGAGGAACAGAAAATCAAACACCGCATGTTCTCACTTGTAAGTGGGAGCTGAACAATGAGAACACATGGACACAGGGAGGAAAATAATGCACACTGGGGCCTGTGGTGGGAGGCGAAGCATCAGGATAAATAGCTAATGTGGGGCTTAATACCTAGGTGATGGATTGATAGGTGCAGCAAACCACAATGGCACGTGTTTACCTATGTGACAAGCCTGCATATCCTGCACATGTATCCAGGAACTTAAAATAATTTTTTTTTTAAATCCAAAATATTCAAAGTGATGGCTCAAAATAATAACACGCTAATACTTCAAAAAGTTCTTCAACACTTTAGTGAACGAGAACATCTTATTACTCATAAAGCCACTTTTCTAATAACTTTACATTTTAACTCTGAAAAATAATTATTTATAAAGTGACTGGTGAATGATAGCCTACTTTGTCCAAAATAAGCCAACATTTCCACAAATGCCACTTACTGGCATGCGTTCTGTCACACCTCCAATCTTAAAGTTCATGGTAGATCTCACGGTCTGGGCCCCATAGTACTTATCATTCGGCACTTTCAGCTCACCAAACGTATCATATTCTATCCGGAAGGAGTTCTGGCTTGCCTAAGAGGAGAATAAAACACTGTTACAACTTGAAAAGAAACCAAGTATCAAAAGTAATTGCACCTTACCAGCTGTTAAGGAGAAAGAAACTTTACTAAGTATCAAAAAGACAAAAAAGTACTATTTGGATTCTCATTCTCTTCCTCACTTTCAGGTCTTTCCTTGAGAACTCTTTGTCACACAAACTGATTAATGCAGGTGTTAAAGACAGATTATCGAGCTCAGATACTATGCTGGTGATAAATACAAAGACTTTGAAATCGTTTCCATTTCAAGAGTAAGCTTATTATTGGCCAAGATTTGGCCAATTCAGTGTACATACTTTAATGCTTATTTTACTGAGAACTTTTGAAAATGGTCTAAGAATGATGATTTGAAATTTATAAACATTATGTGTGTGTGTGTGTATAAACACTATATATATATATAAACACTATATATATATATAAACACTATATATATATATATATATATATATATATACACACTATTTATATATATGCTACCATGCTACCAAGTCAGTATCATGCTGGTCTGCCTGTTAAATATTCTCATTCTCAATGCACTTTTTCTCCTCTATAGCATTGATCACACTAATTATTCATATGTGATTTCTTTGCTTATTTAACTGCTTTGCTTACTTAATCTCCCCTAAAGACAGGAATAAAACACTGTCTGCAAAACTCTATCCCCATAGGGACTGTCTTATTTAGAGGGCCTGATAAATGGAAGACACTCAATAAACACTATATTTCTAGTGAATTAATTTTTATGTGTTCTTTTAAATTAAAAGTACCACAGGGCATCAAAGGTTATGTGACATTCTCAACATTAGTAACCGGAAGAACTTTTAACAAAGCCAGTGAAGATTTTGGACCTGAGAACGGTTAGAGAACAAAAAATATCAGAACTATAAAAAACAAAAACTATCTTCATCTGATTTTAGCTAACGTCACAACTTGCCTAAAAGCAAGGCATTGCTGCTTTTTGACATTTGCATCAACAGGATAGATTCACAAGTTCTCCAGTCTTCTTCCCTTTACAAAGCATCTCTGATTCTGTAGTATGTATGGTGGTATACAGTAGGAATAGTGACCCAATCAAATTATCTTCAAGTTTGTCGTCCAGAAACAATACTGGCCCTTTGAAATATCCTAGATGGGGCATTTATTTAAAGAGCACTCACTACATGGTATTTTCACATTTGCAGTTTTGCCGAGTATTTCAATTTTGCATACAGCAACCGAGGCAAAAAGACAACTTGTCCAGTCTCAACGAGAAGCAGAGTAAGATTTGAAATCACATCTCTTAGCTTGCAAACCTCATGCTACACCAGACTGCAGAAGTATAACCCTTCCTCAAACGTTTCCTAACAATATACATATCTATTTAGAGCTTGCTTTTTTTTTTCTTTTGAGATGTAGTGTCTCTCTGTCGCTGAGTTTGGAGTCCAGTGGTACGATCTCGGCTCACTGTAACCTCTACCTCCTGGGTTCAAGCGATTCCCTGCCTAAGTCTCCCAAGTAGCTGGGATTACAGGTGCGCGCCGCCACGCCCAGCTATTTTTTGTATTTTTAGTAGAAGCGGGGTTTCACCATGTTGGTTGGCCAGGCTGGTCTCGAACTCCTGACCTCAAGTGATCCACTCGCCTCAGCCTCCCAAAGTGCTGGAATGACAAGGGTGAACCACTGGCGCCCGGCTGACAGAAATCACATCCCAGATTGCAAACGTCATGCTACACCAGAGTGCAGAACTATGAACTCATCCTCAACGATCCTTTCTCAAACATTTCCTAACACTACACACATGTATTTAAAGCTTTTAAAAAGCCTGCGTTACAAAAGGGGACACTCTACAGAGCAAAAGGGCTTAGGTTAGCATGTGATAACTTGATGCTGGATCTTTGTTTCTTAGCTGTCTTTCTGAATACAAAGTACTGATTCAGCGATCGTTAGGTACCGGCCCATCTGCTCAAACATGCTTCAGAACACTCTGCCGAAAGTATTCGGAATTTCAGTGTTTGTTTGTTTGTTTGTTTATTGCATTTTAGGTTTTGGGGTACATGTGAAGAACCTGCAAGATTGTTGCATAGGTACACACATGGCAGTGTGGTTGGCTGCCTTCCTCCCCGTCACCTGTATCTGGCATTTCTCCCCATGCTATCTCTCCTCAACTCCCCACCTTCCCACCCCCACACCGTCCCTCCCCTATTTCCCCCAAGGAGACCCCAGTGTGTAGTGCTCCCCTCCCTGTGTCCACGTGTTCTCATTGTTCAACACCCGCCTATGAGTGAGAACATGAGGTGTTTGATTTTCTGCTCTTGTGTCAGTTTGCTGAGAATGATGGTTTCCAGGTTCATCCATGTCCCTACAAAGGACACGAACTCATCGTTTTTGATGGCTGCATAATATTCCATGGTGTATATGTACCACATTTTCCCTATCCAGTCTATCATCGATGGGCATTTGGGTTGGTTCCAGGTCTTTGCTATTGTAAACAGTGCTGCAATGAACATTCGTGTGCATGTGTCCTTATAGTAGAATAATTTATAATCCTTTGGATATTCACCCAGTCATGGGATTGCTAACAGATCTACAAGAAAAAACAAACAAGCCCATTCAAAAATGAGCGAAGGATATGAACAGATACTTTACAAAAGAAGACATACAGGAGGCCAACAAACATATGAAAAAATGCTCATCATCCCTGGTCATCAGAGAAATGCAATTCAAAACCACATTGAGATACCATCTCACGCCAGTTAGAATGGCGATCATTAAAAAATCGGGAAACAACCGATGCTGGAGAAGATGTGGAGAAATAGGAACCCTTTTACACTGTCGGTGGGAATGTAAATTAATTCAACCATTGTGGAAGACAGGGTGGCGATTCCTCAATTTCAGTGTTTTTAAAAGTTATGCAAAAACCATCATCAGCCTAACAAGCTGAAGAGGCAATGGAGAGAAGGAACATCCTGGAGGAACCTTCCACGCCCCCTGGAGGGCCGAACGCAGCGCGGCGCCCCGGGCGAAACGAACCGCGCTTCGGAAACCCGCAGGTGCTCGGGCGGCCGCGGCCGGCCAGGAAGGCCCGGCTGGCGGGCAGGACGCGGCGGGAGCCGCCCCTCTCCCAGCACCCTCCGCCCGCCCCGGCGCTGTCTTTGAGGGCGGCGCCCCGGGGCCGGGGGCCTCTGCGCCGGCAGGAGGGCAGTCACCCCAAAACGCCCCGGCCTAGGCCCGCCTGGGAGGGCTCCGAGGGGGCGCCGGGAGCGAGCCCGGCAGGACCCTCTCCGCCCGCCGCCATCCCTCCCCAAGCGCCCTCCCGGGCTGCGGCTCCGTCCCTGCGCCGGAAGGGGCGTCCCGAGGCCGGCACGGGCGCGGAGCCCAGAGTCCGGCGCAACCCGGACTCCCGGGGAATCCCTCCCGCCGAGCCGCGGGCGCCGGGGCCGGCGGGCGGGAGGGCTGAAGGTCACCGCCGGGAGGCCGGGGGACGGCGGCCTGCGCTCACCATTCGAGCCGTGTTCGGGGGCCAAAACGAGGGCACGGCCGCGCCGCCCAAGCCGGAAGCCGAAGCTGAGGCGGAGGCAGGAGCCCGCGCGAGGCGACGCGAGCGCGCGAGGAGCCGGAGCGCTCGGTACATGGTGCTAAGGCAGCCTGGGTAGATTTTCAGGGCGGCTATGGCCACGCCTCCGCGCGGCTGTCAGAAGCCGTCCCGCCTACCGGCCTCCGTTCTTACCCAATCAACAGCCTCACACCAACAGGTGGGGCGGGACCAACCGTGAATGGCCAGTAAAGAATGAGGGGGCGGGTTACCTTTCTAGTAGTAGTGTCGGGTTTAAGGCCCTCGGATGCATGGGAAACTAGAAAGAGGGGAATTATGGGAAAGGAGGTTCCAGTTATTCTTGGAGCCGGTTTGATTTTCACGTGTGCCTTTGAAGGTGAGAGCATTAGCCGGTGAATCAGGTCGTGTTTGGTTGGTGAAATAGCCTAGAAAGAAATATTTATTCTTTTATTCATCACGTAATCACTCATTACGTGTTCTTGCTGCTGAAATCCTTTTTCATTTCTTCCAGATTATACCTTCTGTGTAGAAATTTTGGAAAGTGCGGCAAAGTGTAGAAAATGAAATAGTAATTATTCATAATGCCACAATTGAAAAATAACATACTTATTTCTTTTAACTTATCGTTTTGAGATCTTGCTACAGTTTTCGTTCTCTTCTCAACCTTAACGCTCAGAACTCTTTTTTTTTAATGTGGTGTGGAAGAGGAACACAATTATAAGTAACCACCGAATTTTTATTATTTGCATATAGGTTTTCCCAGTTTTTTGCATAGCTAATTTATACATTTTCAAATTAAGGAAGCCATTTGTTTCAATAGGATAGTTGATTACAGAAAAGCAGGAACTGATATAAAATTGCATTTGAACCATAGTTTTATCTTTTCTCTTTTTTATTGCTTGCAACCAGATGACAGTAAAGAGAGAGCGATTGGATGATGCCTTGAAGTCAAAAGTCTAGAACGTGCAAAGCCAAATTTATGAGTCAAACTTATAAACTTGTCAAACCTTTTGGTAACATTATGTTATTTTGTGACTTATAAATTTGACATACTTTTAAAATATAATAATTCAAATGAGATTGTTACGTTGAACTAAAATCAAAACACACTAGTAAACAATGCAAATTCTTTAAAACATTGCTAATAATAGAGTGACATTTTGTTTTTGTTCTCCATCTTCCCAGCAGGTATCATTATTTTGTATATCATTATTTTGATGTATCCTTTCAGTTCTGTGTATTTTTCGCTTCGCACACTAATATGCAAACAATGGTTTTAATATTTTACTTTAAAGTTTTACTGTTGTATAATTGAACTCTATGCTTTTAAAATATAGCCATGATCTTTTAAAAATTAATCATTGCATCACATGAATATGAAATATTTATCCAGTTTCTTAAGAACATTTGTCCTTAATATTATTATTATACTTTAATGACCATATGTTTATGATTTTTTCATAGATCATCTCTTTCTTCATTGGGTAATGCCCCTATTTATTGCTATTTTTGCTTGTTATTTTAAACTTTTTTTAATATTGATATTTCTATACCAATTTTTTATTGGCTATTTGCCTGATGTATATTTCTCATTTTATTTCAGTTTTTGTTTCATTTTTGTTTCAAGCATGTCTTCTGTTTCTACCATACAGTTTAGCTTTTCAAAATCCAAATTAATAGCCTTTTTATAGATTATTTTAATGCCTTTTAACAGTCATTTATGAGACATTATGTTCTAGAATTTTTCAAAGCACTTTATATGTATTAATTATTTGAACACTCAAAAACAACCCTATGAGATAGGTCCTGTTATTATTCCTGTACATGGAAAAGAAAAATTGATGCCCAGGAACATCCAAGTATTTATTTGTGTGTTTTACTTCGATTTACTAGTGAAACTGATTTTCTGTCTGTAGCAGTAATATAAAGTTACATTTTTATTTAAATATTTATTTTATTTGAAGTAAAATATTAAGTATATTATGAAGGTGCTATATAAATGACTAAAATTTGGGAAATGTTAACTTAGCTAATTTATTTTTATTAATTAATAATAAAATGTACTTAAAGCCTTTAAATTAATAAAGGCTGGACATCTTCATGTTAGAGTGACTTATTTTATCTATGAAATAATGTTTTTACTTTGCTTAGAGTTTGGGGCATTTTTAACTTTGGACTTATCTGATAATAATTGACCTGCTTTCTTCTTGTTGATACTTGCCTGGTTTGTTCTTGTTTGTTTTACTTTGCGTTCTCTTCAAGGTAGGAGATGTCAGTGGTGTCCTGCTGTGAGGGACAAGGGAACAGTGCAAAGGTTATCTCTTGCATCTGTTCTAAATCTCAACACCTGGCTGCCAAAATTGATAGCAAGGTTCAAATCGTATCAGACAAAATGTTCTCATTATTCAAAATAAAGACTTTTGCAAATTCTAATTTAGGATACCTCCCAGCCTGGGAGGTTACCAGAGGGTTTCTTAGAGGAAGCTTAACATAAAGTTTGGAAGATACAGCCATTAAAGTCTCCCAGAAAGTTGAGCAAATATTCAAAGAGAATGAAAATAAAAGAAGTTAATAAAATTAGAGAAAGAGTTCAGTATGTCTAACATGTGAATAATGAAGGGGAAACATTAGGAAAAATGGAAGAAACCTTAAAAAAATAAATTCCAAAAAGTATTGTGGAACTAGCAGATATGAACTAGCCAGAATGAGTTATGTCAACAAGAAATGTTAGAATACCAAAGGCAAAGAGAAGAGACTGGAATCTTTCAGAGAGAAAAATAAATGAGTCACATACAAAGGATTAGAAATCTTTTAGACTTCACAACAATAATATAGGAAGTCAGACAACAGCTGAATGATACCTTTAAATTGTTGAAGGAAAATAATTTCCAACTTTTTATTCTATATCCAGAGAAATCTAGTATTTGGATAGAATTAAAATGTTTTCACATGATCGAGATCTCAAAAAATTTATTTCTCGTCTATACTTTTTAAGAATATGCCTCAAATAAGTGCTCCACTATAACTAGGGGTAAACAAAGAAATGAAGGAAGAGGAAATTATGGACTTAGAAAATAGGGTCTTCAACACAGAGACAGATGCGGCAAATTGCCTGGATCAGGCTATGACAGCTGTGCACTTAGCATAGACAGCAACCATCTCAGATGGAAGCAGATCACAGCCTCCAGAACAGATTTACTCAAAGAGATAAAATTGCTAATGCCTTGAATATATTGAGAAGGAATTTAGTCGATTGGGGGAGAGTTTGAGAGTTAAATTTATGGTAAGTCTTAGAAAAGTAACCAAAAGGAAAACCATGGCAGTTAAATAGTTGTATTTTGCAGGAAAGGAAAAATAATCATCAAATTTGAATGGCTACAGTTATAATAAATCAAACGTTGAATGCTGATCTACCTGAAATGATGATGTAACTATACTGAAAGGATAGGGAGATGGAAAGAGTGTGGAAGTTTGGAGAGATTCAGACATGATGATGAAAAAACATTAATCTTCATCTTCAGTAGTGAGAAGTCATGATCTAATACCTAAAACCATAAACTGAAAAGACAGAAACAAAAACCAAGAATTAATATTTAGAGATGTGGAATTATATACCCAGGAGCTGAAAGAGATCCCTCTGTGCAAGGATAAATGGCAGAGAGGTAGCAAGGATGATGACTGTTCAGGTTGGATATCTTGCAGAACTTTGTATTCCTAAGACTATGTGCATGTACAGAAACTTTGCAAAACTCTAAAATTACCAACGAAAAAAGTTAACCAACCTCTCTCTCCATTCTCCAAAAAAAGATGAATTCCTCAATGTGCTGGATTCCATTCCTCCTCAAAGACACCACCCACTCTTCTTACTTCATTCGGTTATTTCTCTTAATTGACCCACACCATAAGTTAATACAGTAACTTTGCTGTCTCAGCTCTAATGTTGAAAACAAACAAAAGCTGCCTGGACTTTGCATCCCACTTCAACTACCTCCTCATTTCCAGGACATATCTGATCACCATCTTCAATTCTCCTTTCCTCGTCCTATTGCGATCTGTCTTCAGTACACGTCACTCCATTGGTACTACTCTTGCCAGGGTCACCAGTGACCTGCAAGGTGCAAATACAATAAACAGTTAGTTTCCTATGTTTTCAGCGGCCTTGACACAGTTGACACCCTTTGGAAATACCTCTTTCTTGCTCTTTGAAATATTGAACCCTCCTTATCTCCTTCTCCCAAACTCTCACTTTGTTTCACTAGCTACTCCTTCACATTGTTCTTTGACAGATTTTCACTTAAAAATAGGGAAGGGCCTCAGGGCTCACTCCTAAATAGTCTTTCCTTTTTAATTTCTTTTTAAAAATGTAGTGGGACCTCAGGTACAGAAGATTGCATAAATACACTAACCTTATGACATGTTATGGAGTGTAAGGTTCATTCTTGTTTTATTTAAATATTTCTTTTCTATTCCTATTTTGTATTCATACTCTCTTATTTTAAATTTCAATATTTTTGGAGGAACAGATGGTTTTTGGTTACATGGATAAGTTCTTTCGTGGTGATTTCTGAGATTTTGGTACAGCCATCACCTAAGCAGTGTACACTGTACCCAGTGTGTAGTTTTTCACCCCTCACCCCTCCTATCCTTACCTCTGAGTCCCAAAAGTCCATTATATGATTCTTATGACTTTGTGTCCTCACAGCTTAGCTTCGCTTAGCTTCTTATTCTCCTATACCCTTTCTCCTTTCAGACCCCTAGAAAACTATTATAATGTGTTTGTTTTGTATCTTTTTGTTTAGATGTATTCCTGTAAAATTTATACAGTGTTTCGTGCAGTTTAAATTTTCATGTAAATGGCATGGAATGATTTACACTATTCCCTTTCTTAACCATCATTCTCAATCAGTCGTCTTTTCCTAGGTGAGATCTTCGTTCCTGTGATTTTCAGTACCATCTTTATGTTGCTATACTGATGAAGCTAAACTTATTTTTCCAACCTAGGTTTCTCCTAGCTCTAGATTTACATATCCAACTGTGTGCTTAGTATCTCTATTTATTTATCTAACTCAATACTCACATCTCAAACTTAACATACCCTAAATGATAACTCTTAGTTGGCACCCCTGCCCTAGTC